GTGCAGAGTAGAGTAGGGTAGATGGTAGAGTAGAGTCGGGCGGAATCTAGTAGAGTAGTGTGGAGTAGAGTCTACTCCATTCCAGTCCAGTCTATTCCAGTCCAGTCTACCTCATTTCAGTCTCCTGATCTATCTGGAGTCTGCGCCAGCTGATCTTTTATCCTCTGGCGTGTAGCGGTTGATATGCGCCCCCCCCCGGTAAAGGTAACGATCGTGCGTAGGGGAGGGGGGCTGGACCCCCCCCCTGTGCTGCTCGCTCGCACACTGCAGTGAACCCGCATAGTAAGGATGAGCGACTTTCCAAGGCTACCATTGCATCCTTGCCCCTTCGGCCCATCCTCACCGACTTTCGCTAGCCAGCCCCGTTCGAAAAACGTTCACGTGGCCCTCCAAGACCCTTGCATCATTACCGCGCATCCTCATCATACGGGTTGACTGCACGGCGATCGCAGCGCACCCCCGCCCTGACGTGCCCCCACCCCGCTTTAAGTGTTACCGTGTTTTCTGCTTGTTTTTACTTTTTTCTCCCTCCGACCCCCGGGGTAACGATCGTGGGCGGCCAGGCGGGGGGGTGACAACTGCGGGGGGTGGATATCATGGCCCCGGCCATGACATCTCCCCAGATCCCATGGCGCCCCTTCTTATTTCAGTGCGTCCCATGCCCCCCCCCCTCCCCCAGAGCCGCGCACATGCCGCCGGCCATGGTTAGCACCCCCCCCACCCAGTCTTGGACGCTCCTCTCTAGGACGCCCCCGAAACCGGAAGTGATAGAGAACAGTCTCCTTCGGTAGGTCCGCGCCGTGTTGCCGCATCGGCGACCTCAGCGAGGGCGTTCGAGGTTGAACGTCGCCAGTGTCCCAGAATCAGCTGAGATCGGGCGATCTGCGCTGTCGGGCGCCCGCGATTGTTCAAGCTGGAACGATCCACGCGGCGTCAGACACTGACGCCTGGGTCGTCGCGACGCGGACCTGCCGTCAGGGCGATTCTGTCCCTTCTTGTACACCCATGCAGTTGACCCTCTTCCTGTCGTGCCCTCGGGCCCTCACTGCAGAACGCCGCATCAGCATAGATGATCTTCTGGGTTGGGTGACGGAGGGGGCTTGCACGCTTCCCCCAGGATTCCGCCTGCGGAGGAGCAACGACATTCACTGACTTCAGTGAATTTCCCGGACCCAGTTCCGAGTTCAGCGCCAGCCACAGAACGATCGACGGCAACCTTGGCGCCGCTGGACGTATGCTGGGAGTGGCAGCGCACCAACAAGTGCGCCCCTCTGATGCACGGCGCAAGAGGAGGAAGAGAAGCAGCACGGGATTCAGCACGAGGAGGAAGAGAAGGCGCAGCAATGTGGTTGCAGCGTGCATGAAGGACAGAGGACGACGGTGAGGGTGAGCAACGAACGAACGAACGAAGCGCCGTGCACGTCAGGGGTGCGTTGGCAAATAAGTGAAACAGCAAGTTCCACTGCCGGAGGCGCGGCTGCGAATCAAGAAGACGCCGCGCAGACACCGACAGCGACGACGGCGGCGGCGAAGGGGGGGAGGACGACGAGGGGGGGGAGGACGAAGGCGAGGAGGAGGGCGAGGAGGAAACAGCACTGGCAGGCGGACGGCGAGGGTGAGCATCACGCTCAAATCACCGAGTTCGCAGAGCGGGAGTCCCGGCGGGCCTCCCACGGGGGGAAGCTTGGCAGGCAGACCTCCGAGCCGGTGAGCGCCTTTTGGGGGTGAGGGCCCGGACGCGAGCATGGCCGAAGACTCGTGCAGTCGAGCTTCTCCCCTCCTCCCTCCCCCTCCCTCCTCCTCCTCCTCCCTCCTCCCTCCTCCCTCCTCCCTCCTCCCTCCTCCCTCCTCCCTCCTCCCTCCTCCCTCGTGCAGGGCCACGCTTCTCTCAGGTGGGACCCGGATTTGGGGGCCCCTCCTGAGATCTGGGTCGGGTGTGTGGCCGATGCTGGCTGTGGCCAGACAGGCTCCTTCGTTCCTTGGTCAGCCTTCCCTATGGCACCACGACGGCTGTATAGTGCCCTTTTTCATACACATGCTCCGCGTGCGGATCATGTATGACAAATGCAGGGATTTAGCGTCAGAAGCAACGATGAGTTCATGCATCAATTTATTCATGAATGGATCATGTATGAACAAATCCAGTATTTCTAAACTCCTATGTATAAAAAAAACAACTGCCCTGTACTCGTCCTGGGGCCCTCCTGGGGCGCTCGGAATGCCTCCCTGGGGCCTCCGCCGTGGGCGCTCTGGAGCTCGGGAGCTCCCGAACAAAGTGAACCCCACCCTCCCCCTCAGAAATCGTGGGGGGTAGTGGTAGGGTTCGCCCTGTACTGTCCTGTACTCGTCCTGTACTCGTATTTTTTTGGTGTAAAAACTGCCTACGCATTAAAAACTCGTCCCGTACTCGTACTGCCTACGTATAAAAAAAACTCCTGTGTATTAGAAAAAAACTGCCCTGTACTCGTCCTGGGGCCCTCCTGGGGCGCTCGGGAGCTCCCGAACAAAGTGACCCCCACCCTCCCCCTCAGAAATCGGGGGGGGGGTAGGGGTAGGGTTCGCATGTGGCCCCCTTCCTATGGTACCACGACGGCTGTACTCGTCCTGGGGCCCTCCTGGGGCGCTCGGGATGCCTTCCTGGGGCCTCCGCCGTGTGGCGCTCCGGGCCTCTGCTTAAGGGGCCGCTCGGGGCCCTCTCGGCATGCCCCTCGGTGGGCGGCGGGCCTGCCGAGGCCGGGAGGAGGTATGAGGAGGAGGGGGAGGAGGGAGGAGGGGGGAGGAGGGGGGGGAGGGGGAGGAGGAGGGGGAGGAGGGGGAGGCAGGGGGAGGAGGGGAGGAGGGGGGAGGAGGGGGAGGAGGAGGAGGAGGAGGAGGAAGGAGGGGGAGGAGGAGGAGGAGGAGGAGGGACGCTTTCGACGACGAGGAGGAAGAGGTGAACGGGGACGAGGCGGAGCAGGAGTGGGAGGAACATGGTCGACGACTAAGACGAAGAGGTGAAGGCGATGAGGTGGCGCAGAAGCAGGAACCGGGAGGAGGCGTAGGCGAGTGAGGAGGAGACGGAGGAGGAGCAGGAGGATCAGCAATAAAACCATGAATATGAACACGATCAGTAATGGGGGAGAAGGGGGAGGAGGAGCGGAGGCGGATGACGATGATGATGATGATGATGATGATGATGATGATGATGATGATGATGATGATGATGATGCTGATGATGATGATGATGGCATGATGATTATGATTGATCGCTGGATGATGATGATGACGACGATGATGATGAGGATGCTGATGAGATTTTGATTGATGATTGACGATGACGATGGACGGGGGATGATGAGAAGGATGATGATGATGATGACGATGACGATGACGATGATGATGATGAGATGATGATTTGATGTTGGGCTGATGCGATGTGATGCTGTGGATGATGCTGATGTGATGCCTGAGAATGATGCTGATGATTGATGTGAATGATGGGGATGATGATGATGATGATGATGAATTATGATGATGATGCTGATGATGGGATGATGATTATGATGATGAGATGATGATGATGATGGTGATGATGATGATGATATGAATGATGATGATGATGATGATGATGATGATGATTATGATGATTGATTGATGATGATGATGATGATGATGATGATGATGATGATGATGATGGTGGTGGTGGTGATTGATGGATGATGATGTTGATGATGATGATGATGATGATGAGATGATGATGATGATGATGATGATGATGATGATGATGATGATGATGAATGATGATGATTGCTGATGATGATGCTGGATGATTATGATGGACGACGACGACGACGACGGATGATGATTTGAGATGATGATGATGATGATGAGGATGATGAGGATGATGATGATGATGATTGATGAGAGGCGGAGGAGGAGGAGGAGGAGGAGTAGGAGGGTAGGAGGAGGAGGAGGAGGAGGAGGAGGAGGAGGAGGAGGAGGCGGAGGAGGCGGAGGAGGAGAAGTGGCCGCGAGGAGGGCGGAGGAGGAGGAGGAGGAGGAGGAGGAGGAAGGAGGAGGAGGAGGAAGGAGGAGGAGGAGGAGGGGAGGAGGGAGGAGGAGGAGGAGGAGGAGGAGGAGGGAGGAGGGAGGAGGAGGAGGAGGGAGGAGGAGGAGAGGAGGAGGAGGAGGAGAGAGGAGGAGGAGGGGAGGAGGAGGAGAGAGGAGGAGGAGGAGGCGGTGGAGGAAGATGACCATGCTCCTCCGATTAGGTTGTGTTGGCCTCTTTCCCCACGACCCTAAGTCGTTTTGCATTTAGCTCATTGAGTCCGCCCCCTCCACTTTCTCCTCCTCCACCTCCTACCTCCACCCCCCCCTCCCCGCTACAGGAGGGGGCAGCAGCGGGCTTCCTCCAACTCCTGCTCCTCCTCCTCCTCCTCCTGATCCTCCGCGTCCTCCTCCTCCTCTTCTCCCGAGGCTTTTGGACAAATCACGCGGGAAGCCACAGAGGCGCCCAGAAGTCAGAGGAGAAAGCGGTGCCGATGTCGCTGCCCATCCATCGTCTTCGCGCCTGTGGGCCTCCCGGGAGGCCCTCGACGCCGCGGCGAGGTTCGTCTCGAGGTCTCGGTCAGAATGCACCCCTTGAGAGGTTCCTGGAACAGCGACATCGATACCTGCTTGCCTCCTCCTCCTCCTCCTCCTCCTCCTCCTCCTCCTCCTCCAGGAAGCGCCCGTGAGATGGTCTGCGGCCCGCAGAGACGCGCATTGAGGACTCCATTGGGCCCGAGGACGCTCCAGTCAGTGATTACGGTACGATGGTGGATGTAGCGCAGTGCAGGACAGGGCAGCGCAGGATACGGCACGACAGGAGGAGATCTGGACTGATGGGGAAGGTTGTCCCCTAAGTATCCTTACTCGCTTGTTTCTGTTTCTCTCATCCTGCACTTCTCTTGCTTCCCGCTACTGTCTCCATCCTCTGTTCATTTTACCCCTCTACATCTTGATCATACATCTGTGCGCAGGGGATGGGCGCGATATCCACCCAGCGAGATCAAACGCATCGAGCTGGCGTTCAGGACCCAATCCCTCGCATTGGTATGTGCTCTTCCTGCGGCTAGTTGCCCTCCGCGTCGGGTCGGTGCTGGCATTCATTGCAGCCAGTACGCCTTTTGCTTCTGACGATCAGACTTCCAATTCGATTGGTACGTGGGCGTGGGCCCCAAACAGTGACTCGGTGCAACCTGCGTGGTGCAGCTTGTGGGGTGCACTGTATGGGATGCCCGCTATAGGGCGCAATTGACCCACCGTGCAGCATCCGCGCGTGACCACTTCACATGCTCGTCCAAACATCCCACCCACCCACCTGAAACTGATGGGCACAGTTCACACGGCTATGATCGTAACGAGCGCACGGGCGCGTGGAATTCACTCGCGCAGACGAGTCCGTACCCCAGGTAGCGAAATGCTGGTGGCGATGCTGACGGGGTGACGTTCGCGATTCCAACGACGATAGCGATGCGATGCTAGTGGTGATGACGCAGATGCCGATGGCGGTAACAGTGAAGATGGGAGCAGTATGATGTTGATTACGACGATGGTGGTGGTGACTAAGAAGATGGCGATGATAATGACGGTGGTACCTATGACACTGCCGATAATGATGACCATACTGATGACGATGCTGCTGATGATGATGATGATGGTGGTGGTGGTGGTGGTCATGATGATGCTGCTGATACTGATTATGAAGATGCTGAAGATGCTGATGATGACGATGATGATGGTGCTGATCATGATTACGATGATGCGCATCATGGTGATAACGATGCTGATGGTGATGCTGATCTTGATAGTGATGGTCTTGATGGCGATGCCGATGATGGTGAGGATGGTGAGGATGATGATGATGATGATGATGATGATGATGTTGATTATGGTGGTGACGATGACGATAAAGGTGATCATGACGATGCTGAGAACAATGATGACAGTGATGATGATGATGCTGATGATGATGACGATGACGATGACGACGATGACGACGATGATGACGATGGTGATGATCATGGTGATGGATATGATGATGCTGACGATGCTGCTGATGAGGATGATGTTGCTGATGATGACGATGATGATGATGATGATGTTGATGATGATGATGATGATGATGATGATGATGATGCTGATGATGAAGAAGAAGATGACGGAGTTCTCGCGCGCAGACGTTTGATGAGGGCGACGGCATCGACGATGAAGACAATGACGGCGGCGGTGATGTTCCGACGATGGCGATGATGAGGGCGATGACGAAGGCAATTTTGTCGCTGACGATGATGATAGCCACTGTGCTGGTGAGATTGATGAGGAACTGGGTGCCCGCATCGATTCAACTAGTCTGTTCGCAGTTTTTCGAACATATCTGTGCTGCAATGTTTTTTGAAAACATCTGTGCTGACTTGGTTCGAGAATGCATGGTCTTGGAACGATTTCGACGTGAGCGGGGGGCGGACGCGCGCGTGTGGCTCGCATGCTATCATTTGACAGAGTTGGTGGGACCGCGATGGTGGTTGATCGTTTTCGACATGCGCGCGCAAGTGGCGCAGACGATCTGATTTGGCAGAATGGCTCAAACCGCTTGGTTACCTTAGGATCTCACAGAGTGCGTGCGCGAAGATTTGAAGTCGAAGCCGGCAGTAAGGCTGGACAACCTTCCCAAGGGTACCCTTGCATCCTTGCCTCGGCGGTCCAGCCCCGTTCGAAAATCAGGAGGGGAAAAAACACACAGACACAATTAATCGTCGATTCCCAGAAAACATGGGAAAATATGGGAAGTGGGGGGGGAAGACAGAAACCCAGAAAATATGCGAAAATATGGGGAATCCTTTTATTTGTGTGTATTTATTTGTGTGTCTCAGGGCCCCTTCCGAAAAGCTTCCGCACGGGCGTCCGAGGCCCTTTGTTCCCTATCGCGCGCAGTCTTGACTGTCAGAGTTTTGACTGCCTGGCATTTGTTTTTGTGGACAAGCCGTTGGTTTTTTGCCCCCCTCCCCCCCCCTCCCCCCCTCCCTTCCCCTCCTCCCCCTCCCCCCCTCCCTCACTCCCCCCCCACCCTCCCCCCCTCCCTCCCACCCCCTCCCCCTCCCTCCCTCCCTACCCCACCTCCCTCCCCACCCTCCCCCCCTCCCCCACCTTCCCCGCCTCCCACCTCCCATCCTCCCTCCCTCCCCCCCTCCCCCCCCTCCCTCCCTCCCCTTTCCTCGTTCCCTCCTCCCGTCCATCCCTTCCCTCCCCCCTTTTGTTGACATTTCAGAGCCAGGGGGGCTCTCTTGAGGTTCGTTCGATGAAAACAACAGGCTGGTTTTTGAAGAAGTCCGGGCGTGCGCGAGCGGCGGCGCGCGCATGCACGTTGTTCTTTTCTTTTTTTTTTTTTTTTTCTTTTTCCTTTTCTTCTTTTTTTTTTGTTTTTTTTTGTTTTTTTTTTTTCTTCTTGTTTTTTTTCTTTTTTTTGTTTTCTTTTTGTCATTTGCACGTGCTCCGCACCGTACCTGCTGGACAGGACTTTCTGCGCGAGCACTTCGAAGACCAGTGCATGTGCACCGCGTTATATTGTCCTAGGCGTGCCTTTCGGCTGGCCCCCCTCCGCCGTTCCCTGGCCCGATGCGGCCTCCCCGTTGGGTTGAGCTCGCGCTATTCTCCTCTCTGTGCTTTTAAGGCCCCACCGTACCGTACCATACCTACATTATTGGGCAGGGACGGGGGGTGGGGTCGAAACTGGGATCGCCTGGTATGCTGTCACACGGAACGTGCACCGTGTCGCAGAGTCACATGTATAGATTGCGATGCGAAGGAGCGAGCGGAGTCGTCCGGCTTTGGGAAGGGGAGGTGGAGTCTATGACCCTTGTAGACAGGGGAATCTTTGGGGTGCATTGGAATTGCCGCCCCCAGCGGATTGTGCGTACCTCGCCCCTGCTCTAGACGTGGTAGCGCTGCGCACCGGTCAGCAGACGAAGCGTGCGCGGTGCGCCTACCTCGTCGGCCGTTCCCTTCTTGCCTGACCTCGACGAAGTTGGCCGAACAGAAGGCCGCGCGAGGAGCGGCGCTCGCAGTTGTGCTTGCTGTTGATGTCGTCAGCGTGGGCCCGCGACCTCTTGTTGGGGCTGTGCGCGCTTTCTTTAGTAGGGCGGGGGGGTCGATTTGCGCAAGTGATGCTGCCAGCCGGATGCAGGTGGGGCGATCGAGTACGGAGAAGTTCCCAGAAGGCAAGGCAGCATTGACTGGCATGTGATGTTGGTATCAAGACGACCATAACAAATCACCGCCGCCTCCTGCCTGTCTAGAAACGCCGATGAGGCAAAACTTTGGGTCAAAGCTTGGCCAAGCTACGGGACTATGTGTGTCTCCAGCCGTTGAGGAAGCTCTGGGGGGGACACCTCGGGGAGGAAGAGAGGATGGAGCAGGAGAGGGAGGAGGAATGAGGAAAGGGAGGAGAGAGGAGGGAGGAGGGAGGAGGGAGAAGGGTGGAGGGAGGGAGGGGGGGAGAGGGGGATGGAGGGAGGGAGGGAGGGAGTGAGGGAGGGCGGGCGGGCGGGCGGGAGGGAGGAATTTGGAATTGCGCTCTGATTCGCCGAGGAGACGGTCAGCTTTAGTGCGGCACTCACTAGCTGCTGGCAGAAACACGCGGTAACTAGCAGCACGGGCGCCAAGGTGTAAATGCCCCGCCCGTCCATACCCATACCACCCCCACCCTTATCGTCATAAAGCGCGCATGGCGCAACACAACGCTACAGGAAAAGGGAGGAGGCAAGATGAGGCATAACAAGAAGGGGAGCAGGTGAGATGGCTTGCGAAGGGCCGAAAGCCAGTAGCGTGGGCTTGTACAGGGCATGGGCCATCGGGAGTGCACGATATTCGCACGCTCGACCTGTGGCCTCTGTCTGCACCAAGCACCAACGTTTCGTCACGACCATCGCACACTGTTCACAAGGAAAAGCGGTGTGGCCAAAAAGAATGTCTGGCGTAGCTCAATCAGAGAGAGCACCACCGACATAGAGAGAGAGAGAGAGAGAAATGGCATCGGTCCTACGTCACCATGCCGTCGACGTGGAGGGAAGGACATCGACATCACAAACCAAGGCAAGCACGGAAAGGGGAAACGCACAGAGAAAACGGCTGAGAGCGGCTGCGTGGAAGAGACCACGCCTGACTGTTCTGAACCTCCACCCGACCACCCCCCGCAATCCCCAAGCCTACCCGTTCAGGAACATCTCCTGATAATTGACAGGCAGCAAATTATCCGAACAAGCCTCTGCCAAAGTTAGGATCGCGGGCCCACGGGGCTACCTCACGCAAGCGAGCCTGTCTCGTTTCCTGGAGTTTAGCGGCTCTTCTGACACGTGCCTGCGCGCGGTTTTGCGCGATGCGCTCCAAGATTTCGGGCTGTAACGGCACTGGGACAGGCGGGGGGGAGGGTCTGATACCCCCTGCGAGTCACCAAGAAAACTCGTGCCTCTACATAGTCCTGCTCCTCATCAGCCTCTGGTGGGCCTGGAGGTCTAGCCTCCGCCATGTCGTCGTGAACCTGTGAAGGGGGGAGAGGTAGCCTGCTCCGATGTCGGGGGGACGTGTAGAGGTCGAAAACGATCTAACTCGGGGTCGTGTCGGACACGACGTGTGCGCCGAGAGACAAAGTCGGGAGCCCATCCCTCGTCTGTGCCAGAATAGGGATTTCAGGAGACAAGGAAACGTAGTAGTCCATCACGTACTCTACAATCCTCCCCCATGCCATGCGGAACAACGGCCTCAGTTCTATCAACTTCCCCTTCCCACATGGTACGCACTGCGTCAGCGGTGGCATCAACAATACACTTGCACAGGCCGGCGGGATATGTATTCTTTTTGGCTGTGCGCCACTCCCGCCTATCCCTATCATGCCCGGGAAGCGTTTCGTGACCGTCCCATACCGTGCGAACATCTGCCGTTTCCAGGGGGCGCAACCAGGGCTGCGTGCAGCCTTGGCAGTCTGAGTGCAACGATCCGAGTGGGAGCCCGTGACGTCTGACCATGTTCACACGGATCA